ACTGAGAATCAATAAAAATGCCATGAAGAAGCACTATCAATTAAATTATACTTCAAGCAGTCTCTATTGACAGGTCTTATTCAGTTTCTTCTCCAAAACGTACAACTCAAGTGACATTTTCTTCGGCGCCTTTTCGTCTGCCTTACTTACGTGTATGCCATGCCACTCAGAAAAGCGGGAAACCTGTATGTTAGGAAAAAACATAATAATAGCACGATGAACTACTCGACTACGTAGACATTATGGTATTATGCAGTGAACTAAGTTTAATGTGTTATTTTTTTATATGATTGAATGAAATATTGTTAACCACATGTACAATTAACAACTAAATTTAAAAAGAACACAAAGATAATGATCACAGGCTCATGATCCCACGAAATCACAAAGAAATTACACTTATTTTGAAATGATTTAAATCTGCTCTGGTTCCCACTGTTTTGTCAGAACATAATGGGGATCTCAGAGGGGCCGGTCGCCCAAACGGAGAAAGCCCAAGGTTGTCGTAGTCTGAAACTATTGAATAAATTTACAAAGAGTAGACTGTAGGCCTTACGGCAAAAGTAACCTACCTCAGACACACTGACTTTCTTTTTTCACGGATATTTTTTTAATTCTTCCATGTTTCATATATTCAATGAAACTTTTTCTATAGCAGAAAATATTTACCATGCATAATAGTTCGTAAGTCAATCATAATCGCTTTAGATATTTATGCAAACATAAGGGAAAAGAAACATACATGATGGGATGATAGAATGTGAATCTGTATATGTGTCACTTGTGTTTTCCAATCAATGTCATATTATTTGAATTTATGTGTGTTAAACTTTTTATGCTAAGTATTCACTTTCTTATTTTTTACTATTATTTATCACTATGCTATCATTAATTACAACGCTATAAAGCTTCAAAAACTACTTGCAATTGATAATTTTAAACCCTTGTTGCCTATGAAATTTTATGATTAATAACTCATAATATTAACGAAGAGAACGGTTAATTATTAAAAATTTGAATTCTAAACGATGCAAAAAAAAACTTGAGTTAAGTGTTAAGATATGCATGTCCGAGAATTTTAATTCAATGTTAAAACAATTTTGAGAGAATTTCTGTTTTGTCTTTGCAAGATGAAATATTTACTTCCAAGTAATGAATAAACCTTAACAGGGTACTATCACCAAGGCAGAGCACCTTTCACAAAATAAACAACTGAAACATCCAAGCTTGCCACCTAACATGCCAAAGTAATAATATAATTACAGTAGGGAAGTGAGTAGCCTTTATTTATTAAGGTGTGTTACACATCTTGACTCAAAAAAAAGTGCCAACTGCACTAAATCTTCATACAGGCCTTTTATATAAACGGGACTGGCTTCACAAGACAGTATGCTATAATAACAATAATAACAATAATAAATCGCATTGATTTGCATTCTTGTCATAGGTCAAAGGAGTAAAAAATCACCCAACTCTTAAGCTATATGTATGTGTGGATTATATGTGAATTTAGAAGGTGAGGATTAAATAGGTCCTACATCTTTGAAATAAACAAACTGTCTATTTGTTCACTAGTTTTTAGTATCAATAGCTAGCTGCACGTTGAACTAGTATCAGCTGTTATTTCATTTAATTTGCTGTGTCGCATGGTCAACAATTGAACAAAATAATATATGTTAAAGCATGGTCAACAAATCACCCTGCCTCTTTTTTGTCAAAGAGAACTGTTGTAAAAATTTTGCATAATAGTATTTATAGAAAAAGAATAAACTAAGAAAGAGAAAGGGAACTTGGCAGAAAATCCAGCAACTTACATTTTCATAAAGTAAAAGTTACAACGAAACCAAAAATATTTTTTAATTAACACTTTACTGGTAGCAGCATTTCAACATGTACAGGGTAGTAGCCGAAGAAAGGATAAACAATATAAAGTTTATAGAAAATTAGTTACTTGGTCTAAAGGAGCACATACTTAGGTTTATTTTTAATCTAAAAAGATATTTTAATGTTAAGCCAGCGACAAGGAACTTCTTTAGGTATAGCAAAGAGAGGCATCCCGTCAATTACCATAATTACAGAATACTATGTATCATATACTCCATGCACTTGCTCCTTTTCGCCGTAACCCAAGAAATAAACCGAATTCCGGTCATAAAGTTCCCCTGTCCTGAGCTTTGTCGTCTTCAGATTACTGTTGAGCAGAGCTCATTTTTTAATAAGCCCAATTTCCTTACTATTTTTAACGACAAACTTCATGTTTACATAGATGATAAACTATATGTGTCGCTTTTTGCAGTGGTAAGCGGCCCACATTTTATTAAACACATCTTCAATCGAGAGAACAGTTTCATTAGTTCTGTATGTATAGATTAAATTATTGTTTTTCTTTTTATCAAGAGCTTATAAAATATGTTGGTATTACCTCCAATACTTCTATGACTGTCAGTCACCATCATCAGGGAGTAAATGAAAATCCAGGTCAATTGCCACTAATCAGATCTACCAGCTATCTACCTCACGGTGCTCCAGAGGGATGCAGAGGAGTCCCGGGGATAGGGTGTAACAGTTACAACACAAGGCCAGTGATTAGGGGCTAACTCCCTGGGGAGACCCACTGAATTGCTATCGCCTTGCTAGCGGCTTATATGTCTGCCACGCCTACCGAATAAGCTAGTGTAAAGAAAATTACCCCCTAACAGCTTTACTAGCTGTGGGAATGGTCCCATAGCCTGCATTCCCAGAGATTTAGATCGTTCCATTCGGATCGACCTAACTCCCTTGGTGTTCACGCACACGATCATTCTTCTTGTTGCTTCACCACCATGATTAAAATATGGACGCATCGTATGTTTTTCTGGCAGGGTTGTTATACAAAAGCTTGTCAAAACAACTAATGGTAATTGCTACGAAACATGAACAAAAGAAGAAGTGCATGTTGTACGGACATGTAAAGAGGTTAGAGCTCTCACTGAGGTGTCTAACGGTATCTAAACAACTCTGTTAGCAAGGCGATTAATAAAAGACACCACTTTATAATGTTTCCAATCAACTATTTTCCCTGGATATATCTTCTTTTAAATGTAAGACTATTGGAACAATAAGTATAATGACATTTGCAGTTGTTTAGTAGTTTTCAGAACCAATATTTACAAAGAAAATTATCCGACTTTTAGCACACTGTCTAGGCTGTGAGGAAAAGAGCTCTTTGGCATGTCAGACCTGCAGTCCGTTGCGTTAATTAAAAAAACGTGAGACAAAACAATTAGCCCTTTCATCTTGGACCAATATAATCTAGCTTTGAAAATATAATATATAACTCGAATTAACAATCATTAGTTTAATCCTCTCTGTCCGCTCACAGCAGGCTTGAAAGAGAACCTTATTTACTTGAATATTAGATCAGTCACAGCTTTTAGGGCAAACAAACACTAGCGATACACAATATCCCACAAAACGGAATTGTAACCCGTGTTGAAGGTTTGTCGCGCCGTCTACAGGAGATAATTGCAGTACGCGGTAGACGCACACGCTGTTAGGCACGTGGTCTTTAACGAGCACACCCTAATGCTAATTGTGTGTGAATTTGGTGACATTTGATGGCGTCTTTTCAATTTTATAGACATTTCTTTACATCTGTAGAAGTCACAGTGAAACAGTCGATTTGAGGGGGTGCCTCTTATAAATTTTACTAAATGGTATCAAATATGTATATTTTCACCACTATTTTGTATTTTTTGAAACCATTAATCATGTTAGACAGGGTATCCGTAATAAAAAGCACTATTTCTAACAATCTACAGCTGTGAGGTGATCATTTGTAAATAAAAGTACATGGAAATGGGAGTGGGACAACCTTTTTGACCAATGTTGTATTACATGCAAAATTGTACATGTAGGAGAGAACAATCTACTCAGTATGATTATTTCGTATTGCCCTCCTTCAATCACTCTCTCTCTCTCTCTCTCTCTCTCTCTCTCTCTCTCTCTGGTATTTTTAGTTTCTCTCTCTAATATTTACAGTATTTTTTTGAACACGACCAGTGTTGAAAAAGGTTAGCGTACTATCATCTCTAAAATTTGAAATTGATGACTGTAATCACTTCCCCAAAATCATGGTTAAATAGTATGTGCTAGTCTGTGACAAATATGTTTTTAAAAAATCACACTTAAAATGAGGAAGTGTGATCATAGACCAGAGCAACATCCCAGCAGGCAAAAGACATTGATTCTACGTTGATTCAACGTTGATCCGGCAAAATTAACGTTGATTCAACGGTGAATCAATGTCGTTTGTCTGCTGCGTAATACTATAAGATGTGAAGACCTTTACTAGCTACATGTAAATTCGGCTTTCGAAGATCGACTTGGCATACACAAATTCGCCGCAAAACATTCTGATGTTACCCCCGGTTACCACGTACATGTAATGCTGCGATGATGCACCATGAAACTGAAACGGGAATTTCAAAAAAAATATTATTGCTTTTGTTGTAACTTTTACTTTATGAAAATGTAAGTCGCTGGATTATCTGCCAAGTTTTTTTCCTCTCTCTTTTTTTGTTCATTTTCTATAAATATTATAAAAGAGACAGGGTGAATTGTTAACCATGGTCACACAAACTTTTTGTTCAATTGTTGACCACGCAACACAGCAAGTTAAATGAAATAACAACTGACACAAGTTTAACCTGAAGCTAGCTCGTGACTCTAAAAACTAGTGTACAAAAGGGCAGTTCACCACGGGAGATAGGTTGTTTAATATTGAGTGCGCTCAAAAGGGGCGTCCAACCAACCCAGTCGACTAGGAGGTTAGACCAGCTACCATATTTCGCTTACTATCGTTTAGCTTCCCTATAATTATTACGCTCGTCTTTTGTATTTTTTGCTAATTTTGGGGTGTAATCTTGGACTGGTACACGGAATAATTATACACGTAATTATGACAGATGCGGCAAAAGACCCAGGATCTGCCCTGTTCTGTTCTGTAGTCACGTTTCGTTATGGAAAAACCACTACCCTTGATCACAGCATGTGGTGACGGACGCAAGTTTACCATCAACGAGGAAGCGAAAAAATGCCTGCTGAGCATAGACAAACCGGTGTCCGTAGTAGCCATCGTCGGAAAGTGCCGCACTGGCAAGTCGTACTTGATGAACAGGCTTTACGGCAAGAACTCTGGGTTTGATCTGGGCAGCACGGTCCAGTCTAAAACCAAGGGGATCTGGATCTGGGCCCGGCCCCACCCCGGGGATAGCAACAGGTATCTCTTGCTGATGGACACCGAGGGTCTTCATAGCGTGGAAAGGGGGAACGTTACCTATGACAATCAACTCTTCACTCTGGCCGTTCTCCTTTGCAACTGCTTCGTCTACAACAGCCAAGGAACTATAGATGACAATGCCCTCAGAAATTTACAGTATCCTTTCAAACAAATATAACCTGAACAATAAGAAAAAGCAAAATATGAATAGAACACGTGCCTGATTCTGTATACTGGGTTAAAGCACTTTGTCATTTGTATAATTCTGCAAAAATAATGTTTTTATTCAAATTGTATTTTCCTTGAATATCTTAAATAACAGTTTGGTGGTGGAATTGACAGAGCATATAAAAGGTCAGGCCGGAACTAACGGCAGAATCGAGGAGACGGGGGTAACATTCAACACGTACTTTCCGCAATTCATATGGGTTGTACGTGACTTCGCCCTTCAGCTTGAAATCGACGGAAGAGCATGTACCTCTGACGAGTACCTTGAGCACGCCTTGCAACAGAAAACCGGCAAGAGCGGAGCCATTTTTGATCCCAACGCCCTAAGGGAGTGCATCCGGAATTTCTTTCCTCAAAGAAAGTGCTTCACCCTTCAAAAGCCAGTCGACGATGACAAGTTGCTACGCCGACTGGACCAAGCCAAAGATAGTGATATTAAGCCAGAATTCCTGAAGGAGGCCCAGAGGTTTTGTGACGTGGTCTTGGATGACAGGGGTGGTTTTAAAGTGCAGGGGAATACAATAAACGGCAGAAGTAAGTTCTTCGCTCTTGCTTTGTTAAAATTGTTAAAATTTGTCAAATTGTTGAGTTAGTACATGTGCGATAAAATGTGTCAATGTTACAAAATTGGTCATTTTTAAATCAAACGTTTTTTAGTTTTTAAGTGATAACTAATGTTTTGCAAGCTAAGAAACATTAAATCCTGGTCTCGAATTGCAACATGTAAACTATACAGATACAGGTCATGATATTGCCAGTTGACTAATAATATGTCTGATACTGGTTTTGATTTAGTCATTCTTTCTTTCTTTCAAATAGGGTACGTAGAATTGGCAGAAACATACGTGCAAGCCATCAACTCAGGTGCCGTGCCATGTATTGGTACCGCAGTGGAGACCATGATGCAGGTGGAGTGCCAGAGGGCCTTGGAGGAGAGTGTGAAACACTACAGAAAAACGATGGAGAATAACACTGTACCAAACATGCCTCTTTTTGTGCATGAGCTATCAAGCCTCCACAAGCAGGCCAATGAGGAAACCCTCGGTGTTTATAAGGGTATAGCTGTATTTGATGCCGAAGGAAATTACCAAACAAAACTAGAAGTAAGCCATTCCAAAAAATTAATGAATAAATGAATAAATAAATTAAAAAGAGAGAGAGAAGAAAGAAAAATTAAATACCAATGCCAAAGAGATATTGACACACGGTTTTGAATATGCACTCTCATATAGTCTACAATTTCGCATCTTGATGTTGTTAACTATTATGGTGTGATTGGGTGAAATTAATAGAAATATGAACATGGACTTATATCTAATAGGAACAGCTGCTGGCTATCTATGATGAATATGTGCAGAACAACATAGAAGCTTCAAGGAGAAAATGCAAATCCATCTTGCAAAACGCGTATTCCAATATTGCCAGCAAGATCCAGGCTGGTCACTACACAGGCGCAGGAGGGTACGAGGAGTACCAAGCGGACTATCAGAAATTAAAAGAGATATACGCCAACACAGAGAGAAAGGGTCCATGCGCTGACGAGGAACTGGAATGCTTCAATGAAGACAAGAAAAGTGAGGGGAAGGCGATCATGGCTGTTGATAAGGTAAGGTACAAATTATTCTATAAACAAAACACAATTCATCATGTCTTGTTCAATGTATTGTCTAACTGGGATAATATTTATGCATTGATGTTCTGTTTAAGTAGACCCAAAATTTCATTGTTTACTTACTAGGCGATGTCACAAAAGGAGAAGGACCTTGCAGACGCCAGAGAAAAGCAACAACAAGAAGCATTGAGGGCAAAACTACTGGAACAGCAACAACTGCAGCTACAACAAGAACTTGTCGACAAAGAGAAGAGCAACCTCGCCATGATGCAAAAAGTCCAAGCCGAATTTGATAAGAAAATTCGGGCCACTCAGGAGCGCCATGAGAAGGACGTGCAGGGTAAGGAAGAAGAACACCAGCGCCTCTTACGGGAGGGCCTACGCACTCAGGCAGCACAGCACAAGGAAAAACTGGATGTGTTTAAAGAGAACCAGAGGGAGCTTCAGGAAAAATATCAGCTGCAGATTGCCAAGTTGGGCCAAGAAATTAGGGAAAACCCACCTAAAAGTGACGAAGGTAAAGTTGCACTAAATCAGATTGTTTCCTTTAGATTCTCTATTTAATTTGGTCATAATAAAGACAGTTGCTCAAAGTATTTTTAGGTAGTGTTCGTACGATTGATCAAGTGATAAGACAAACAACAAGCCTAGCTGTATTTAAGAATTTCTTTTAACCACGAAAAACTTCGAAAGGACATTGTCACACGTACCCTTAACCCCAACTTGGCAATAACAGAATAAATGAGTTCCGATTTTACATTTCAGGCATCGTAGAATTTTGTGCACAATTACTTGGAGGACTTGCTTCAGGATTTTTAGAGGGCGTTGGAGAATCCTTGATGAAGAAATTTGTCAGAGAAATCGTGGCAAACCTACCTTTAAGTGGCAAAGGTAAACCTTGCAATATTTATTGGACCGTTTATTGGCTTCAATGAAAAAAGCGAAACTGTAAAATAAATGTACTGGAATTATTTTTTAAAGAACTAAATCAGAGCTAAATCAGATTGGTACCTTCAACTAATATTTATTATTGTTCATAATTTAGACAACTGGTTTAAACTTTATTTTACAGGTATTCCCTGTGCTATTAAAGAAGTGATAGGACAAATGGCGTCCCAAGTTGTATTTCATATTTTACAACTAGGAAAATCATTGACATACGACCTCCTAAAACTTTATTTGGGTCAACTGATTGGAGGACTTGCTACAAGCTTTTTAGTGGTGGTTGCAGTATACTTGTTAACGATGCTTGTCAGAAAAACCATGGCAAACCCAACTTTAAGTGGCAGAGGTAAAACTTGCAGTATTTATGGGGATGTTTATCTGTTTGGATGAACAAAGTGAAACTGTAAAATAAGTACACTGGAATATTTTTTAAGAACTTGCTAAATCAGATTAGTTCTTTCAAATACCATTTATAATTATTCATTATTATAGACAACTGCTTCATACTTTATTAAGTTAAATTTTCATTTTTTTTTTTTCAGGTATATCATGTGTTATTGGAAAAGTGATAGAACAAATGGCACCCCAATTTCTATCTAATATTCTTCAACCAGAAGCTTGGTCATACGACCTTATAAAGCTGTTTTTAGGTCAACTAATTAAAGAACTTACACTAGGCCTTCTAGGGAGGGTTGGAGAATCCTTGTTGAAGAAACTTTTCGGAGAAATCGTGGCAAAAATACCTTTCGATGGCAGAGGTAAAACGTGATATAATTATGAAACCGTTTATTTGTTTGAATGAACAAAGTGAAACTATAAAATAAGCACACCGGAATACAATTACACAAATCACTAAATCGGCTGGGTTCTTTCAAATTATATTTATTTTTATTCATAACTATAGACAACTATTTCAAACTTTATTTTTCAGGTATATCCTGTGTTATTGGAGAAGTGATAGAGCAAATGGCATCCCATGTTGTATTTAATATTTTTCAACCAGGAGAAGCATTGTCACGCAACTTCATTAAGCAATTTTTGGGTCAACTGATTGGAGGACTTGGACTAGGCATTTTAGTGGAGGTTGGAGCATACTTGTGGAAGAACCTTACAAGGGAAATTATGGCAAACCTACCTTTAAGTGGCGGAGGTAAAAATTGCTTATTTTAGGATTTTTTATTTGTTTGAATGAACAAAGTGAAACTTTGTAAAAATATGTATTTATATGCTTAATCACTTTGGGTCCATCAGAATCTCATTCTTTTCGGTCAAAATTATAAACATTTGCTTAAAATTCTGTTTTTCAGGTGTTGTCCGTGCTACTGGAGAAGTGATAGGAAAAATAGCAATCTTAGTTATATTCAAGAAATTCTTTTAAACAGTAGGGGATTTGTCACACTACCCCAAAAAACGATTTTTGAGCCAACTAATTGAAAGAGTTGCATCTAGAATGTTTTTATGAATTATAAAAGGCTTGATTAAGGCGCTTTGCATTATTTTCAAGTACGAACATATTTTATAATTGTTTTGAGATTGTAAAAATACTTTGTATTTTATGAATTTCTTCACTGAATGGATGCAAACATGAGCTGATTCCATTTGAAGCTATCATTGTAGTGTTACGTGTATTGGCATAGGTATGCGGGAACTTTCACAAAAAGTTTAGCAGATTAACACGCATCTTCTTGTTTCTAACATACTCGTATAAACACTACACCCTGACCACAGAGCCTACTACTAGTCTGTTTCAAATTTATTGTATCCGACCCTGTAGGAATTGACGTGATCAACGGGAACACGTTCCTCGTCAGACATACCCACCGTATTTGTCGTGGGGGGGGGGGGGGATATCACACCTAGGAATTGAGTAGCGCAGATTCCTGTCTATGTTTCGTAAAGGAACTCAAACATAACCTCAGACTAAATCAGTTGCCTAGCTGAGTGATTTCAACCAACCCAACAATATTCCTCCGCTGGTGCTGAGCCACAGTTTAAGGTTAGGGGCAGTAACATGAGAACAGACGATCTGATTAGGTGTATTTCCACAGTGACTTAATGGGATACTCTTAACTTTCGTATATTATATTTAGCCTCCCCCCCCCTTTGGTATCAGTTGGTATATATTCTTGAACAACAGCATTGCGAGGTAGATAACAATGCTATTAATCATGTGATCTTTAACGATTACATCTTAATGACAATAGTGTGTAAATTTGGTGAACCTCAGTTGTATCTTTACAGGCTAATGGACAATTCTACCTTTATGGAAATCACATTGGATAGAATGTTATAAATATCAATAACAGGTATAAAATACGGTTATTTCCACAGTTATTTGGTATACTCTGTACGTACCACAGGTCATGTTAAATGTGGTATCTTGAAAAAAGCAATGTTTATAGCAATTCACACCTGCGAGGGGATCATAAGTAAATATAAATACATGGAGTTGTGATGGGTGGGAGTAGGTTTCCATGTTCCCCTACGCAGATTTTATCTGAAGTATCGCTGTTACTAAGGCATGGGAGAGGAATAAAACAACCAGTCTGAATTTTACTCGGTCCTTTATTTTTGTCTCACAGTACTCTTTCCTCCTCTTTTCAAAACCCCTCCTTGTATTTCTTCATGTGTACATAGAGATACATCGTATTGTTGCAAAGCGAATTACTTACACTTTCACTCATTACAGATAACAATTAAAACGGAATCAAACGTGTAAAAGAATAGGGAGTTATTGAGTGTAAAGTTAAGTATCACCAAGAGTCAACAAGTGTAGAATATGTTTTTAAGGTCAGAAAAAGATGGAATAGGTCAAAGTCAGAAACAGTTAATGTGATTGTTTAATTTCATAACAGATTTTAATTTTGATCAACTGAATGTCGGATAAACTGGAACAGGAATAGACTGGAACAACTACAAGATAATAGAATTGTAAAGCAGGTGTACAATCTTGAACAAGATACAAAGGGAAACACATGGACAGAATCCATCCAATCTTTTCAAAATTGTTGGGGTTTCTCCGAAGATAACAACCCACCAAAGAAATTACATCAAATAGAAAACCTAGTAGAAAAATTGAACATAAAAATCGAAAAACCCTTTTGACAGGAATTAAATAGCTCGACCTCAAACAAATTAAGGACATACAAAACAATTACATCAAATTGAGTGTTGAGTGTCTTCCCCTTAGATATCAAAACACTGGCAAAAATTAGACTAAGTGATCACGACCTGGCAATAGAAAGGGGCTGATACACAAACCCTAAAATTCCACTTGATGAGAGAAAATGTAAAGTTTGCAACTGCGTAGAGGATGAAAGACATTTCCTCACAGAATGTACAAGATACGCTGTTGAGAGGCAACGAATGCATGATGAACTACTGAAAATAAGTGTAATGGGTCTGGATGACAGTGATCAGATATTTTAAATTCTTAATCCACCCTGTGAAAAAAGTCGCAAAGTAATAGCAGAATTTGTAAAGACTGCTGTTAAAATACATAGTTCACCTGAAATTTAGCACATCACAGCCACTTATTGTCAATAATGCTGTGAATAACTTAATAAATTAATCTTATAGCATAATTTACATTAACACATGTGTAATTTAACATACTACATATGTAAACATATTTATATATAATTGTATACCCATATATACTGTGTAAATAATGTAGTCTAGAGAGCCTGTAAATGTATTTATATCATTTAGTGCTCAATAAACTTTTTATTATTATAAAGTCCAAGCATGAGTAATTCAAATAATATTTTAGATATCTTTAATTGAAAACAAGTCTCTTAGGGATTACCTAATAAGAAAATGTTGCATGGTGACTTACAACATGCAAATGGAAAATATTTTGTAATCACGCAAAGACAATGGAAAGAAAATAAGAAAATGCATGATCAGTGCAAAAATAGATAAATACTTGTGAAGTTGTACGAAAATCGAGTCGGTGAATAAACGTTCGAAAGCTCCAGATCGTTGTCGTTAAACTTCACTATAACAACATTTTTGGTTAAGTATATGGAAGCGAACCATTTTACTGTTGGATTGAAGTTTACTATTGCGTATTTGGCTATAGAGGTCAATTTGTCTCTGTTTGAAAATTATAGGGAAATTTGTTATACCCTGTAGGTGATTTTTTTTTGGAAGCCACACATCTCCAAGACCAAATGTAAAGATTAATTTTCGGATCCCCTCAGACCATGACATGCAAGCCGGTCTGAGGGTTTGGACTGAGGTGGAACATAGGGTGTCAGCAACTTGTGACTGTGTGGTTATCTCTTGCATGTAAGCTTGTTTCATTAATTTATCATCAGACATTTGGATAATTTTGCACCATATCTTGATAGATGCATACTGTGTTGTGGTTTGGGGGGGGGGGGGGAGTTCAGTATATACACGGTAGTTTGATACGTTTCGATTGAGTCTAGGGATTTGTTAGATGCAGATTTTCTGCAGGACAGTTTTGAGTTGACACAGAGTAGCCCCATACATGTATCTCTGAATAGTATATTAGGATTGGGAGATGAGGGTATCGAATAGTTTTTACTTTTAGGGATGTATTAGCATTACTCTGAAGTGGAAAAGACTAAAAAGGGTCTTCGTACATGTAGCACGTTGGAAGAGATTATAAACCATACGGTCTATTATTTATTGTATATCCTTATTTGATTCAATACAAACTAGCGTCTATAACTTGACCTATAAACTGATTTCATGTGTACATATGTATGCTTAAGACACATCTGTCTTATTCAACTATTTCAATGCAAAACACATTAATGACACATAGTGTAATATAAAACGCCTTGTATGAGAGCACTAAATGGATCCCAACATGGGTGTATAATCACCAGCTATTCAACTCCGTTACAGGAGCAAGTGGGTTGATATCTTAATCTGATTGCATTCAGTGAGAGTCCTCGCAGAGGTTGGTCGTTTTGGGTAGATTGACAGTTTCGAAAGCGATGAGCCCTTAATCCTCAGTGTTTGCACAGTTATCTTACTGAGTAAAAATGGGCACTGTGCGCAAACTCCCAAACACGCGCACACACAGTATAATTTTTTTAAATGTCAATTTGTTAATTCTCTTTAAGTTTCGTTATGAAAAACAAAAGCATTGTACGTAAAGATGAGGAATCTGTGTATGTAATAAACATCACTATCTATTCATGATGATGTATGTTTTGTTTTAATTCACTGATGCTGTATTTAATTATAGCTACCGTACTCGGATCAAGAATGTGTACATTTACCCCGTGGACCATTTGAAGATTACACTGCGATTAATGCGGTGGAAAATACAATAGAGAGAGTGTATAATGATAGGGTCGCTAAACGATTGTTGACGGCATATAGTAACTAGCCTAATCCCTTGGTCGCCTGGGTAGCCACGCCCCCTTAGAGTACTTATGTAAACAAACGGTCTCCCGTAGCGAACTATCCTTTTGTTCAACAGCTTCGCGCGTGCAGCTGATTATGTATGTAGTGACACTATAGCTAACTGCATATAAATTTGTGCTAGCTGTTATTTGATTCATTCTGCTGTGTCAGATGTTGTGGATCAGCCCACTGGTTCGTTGACTTCTGTTTTTCTGAAGATTGGTGGTGCAGATTTTGAGTGCTTAATTATGTACCCTCCTTCTAACAAGAGAAAGGGGAGGGGAGATAAAAAGAGAGAGTGTCAAATGAAACGGGTAATGAGTAATACATTACATTAAATAAAGGGACTCGCGGTGGAAGAAACGATAGACTGTTTTGCATCAAGGTATGCCATTATAATCCGACATGGCCCATAACATGATCCATAACATGACTCATTGTTGTATGCCTTATATTTGTGCCGACTAATATTTTACTCTCGTTCATTTCGTGAAACTATTTCCTTAAAATAAAGTTTTGCCTGTATAAATTAACTTTGTGACATGAAGTAATTAATAAAACGCGCCTGTTGAAAAGGGGGCTTTTCGTAACTAATAAAGGTTCACTATTCAGAAAAATATCGTCGCCGTTCGTCGCCGCTACCTTCAGGAAAGCGTACCCTCCGCGTGGATCACCGGCATTTTTGATTATCTGACAAATTAGGGCAATTTACGTTTTAGCTAATAATTCTGAATTTACTAATATTTTGGA